AGACTCTGAATCTGCCTGGGACATGTGGCAAAGAGTTTGGTTTATTAAAATTATATCACACCTTTCTGCCAATAAATGCTTAAGGTGGCTTCCAGTGGTATTGTCAGATAAAAAACAAACACAATTAAAACAAATGTTTAAAATGCAATTTTAGAAAATAAACACAACAAACACACTGTTGCCCAACTAGTTAAAAGTCCTGTTCAGCTACAACCTAGCTTAGATGCCAAAGGCTTTTCTGGATGGTCTTACTGCTGTTAGATTAGGGTCTTATCTATATATATTCATCTTGATTTGATCTTATGAATTCAAATTAGGTTGTAATTTTATTGATCTAATAAGTGATGTGGATTCCAATGAATAATGTCTGTAGCCAGAATTCTGTCCGTTTTAGTTCTAGAAGGAAATAGGAACTACTGTATTAGACATAGGAGGGTGTGCTCTGCTTGAATTCTGATACCTTGGTCGTATTCAGAATAATCTATGGCTAGGTCTCTGATCGTCTACTGCATTTGTCTTAGCAACTTAGCATCAGTCAGGCTATGTTGAGTCATGCTGTAGTGTGTGGTGTGTTACTGTCATTAGTGTGAAATTGTCTAGAATTGTGTTAATAAATTTTGCCTCTGTTTTCACATATAGGGAAACACAAAGGACAATCAAGTGCTGCTGGAACTCTCCTGTTCTGCATTATTTTTTGGAGTCCTACACATTTGGATTAAAAGAGTTTTTGACACTGTATTGCAAGAAAGCAAAGATGTGTTCCATGTTTTTCGTTCTGCCATAAATTAACCACCTGACCTCTGTTAAAATGCAGCTGCATAAAGAAGCGCACATGAGAAAAATGATATGAAATAGCAGGTTCTTATCCTTCAGCCTTGGCTCATACATAGAGAAGGATAAATGAGCCAAGGCTGAATGGTGAGAGCCTGCTGTTTCATATCAGTTTTCTAATACAGTGCAATATTTAGCTTTTGTTTGGCCAGCTTTGATAATACTGTGATCTTGGTGGACTACATAGTCCTAATGACTCTGATGTCAGATGTTTGTTGAATAAATTTTTAGAGTTAGAGCACTGTAAGGAAGTTTTCACCCTTCACATGTTTTGCAGAAGCCTCACCCTGCATGGCCAGTGTTGAGGAATTTTGGGGGATGTAGTTCAAGCCTTACAGAGAACTACTTTAGATCAACCTTGGTGCACACAAGTGGACTTCGAAAGAGGCACATTTGTACTTTGAACTGCCAAACTGTCAATTTAAAATTATACTGGTTTGTTTTATAGCTGTGTTGTAAGGATAAATGAGGCAAGGCTTGAAGGAAGAGTAGGATAGCAGTAGGCAGCATGAGTTATAAATCTGAAGATAAAAACTTGAGGGTAGAAGTGGCACTTCATTAATTCCAACGGTTCAAGAGACACATTTGACTGGAAGAAAACTGGGAACCTCTTATTTTCTAAAAAGCACCCCAAGGTTGTGGTTTGGAACTTGTTCTAATGGACCCCTCTGTAAATGAAAGGATGAGAGGACAGGCCGAATCTGGGGAAATATGTGTTGAAGAAGATGGAATGAAAAATAATCAATAAAATCATGGTTCTTAGCATTATTCCTCAACACATTACTCAGTGGTACACAGTGGGGTTGTTACCATAGATCACTACTCCTCTTTGAGCAAACATGATATGTGTGTGTTATCTCAGCAGGGTGTGTTTCTACATTTCCTGAAGTATGGTCCACCCTCGACTTACGAACGTCCCTACATATGAACTTTTCGATTTACAAACAGCTCTGTAGGCAAAAATTGGCATCGACTCGTTAATGGAGCCTCGACCTACAAACAAGGTCGAGGCTCCATTCGCAAATCAATGCCAATTTTTGCCAACGGAGCCATTCATAAATGGCTCCCTGCAAAAAGGCAGGGAGAAAGGGCCGGAAATTCAAATTTCCCGCCCTTTCTCCCTGCGTTTTTGCCTTCAGAGCTCTCAAAGGGTTTCCTCTGATGTTGGGCGGAAAGCCCTTTGAGAGCTCTGAAGGTGCCGATTGCGGCGGCAGGGACCCCCAGGGAGATCTCCCAGGGCTTGCCCGCCACCATGGGAGACCTCCCTGGGGGTCCCCGCCACCACGATCAGCACCTTCGGAGCTCTCAAATGGCTTTCCCCCCCTACATTGGAGGAAGCCGTTTGAGAGCCCAGAAGCAAAAAAGGCAGGGAGAAAGGGTGGGAAATTGGAATTTCCAGCCCTTTCCCCCTGCCTTTTTGCCTTTTGAAATGCTGGAGCGGATTAATTCCGTTCCCATGCATTTCAATGGGAAAAGGTACTTCGATTTATAAACTTTTCAACGTATGAATGTTGTTCCAAAATGGATTAAGGTCATAAGTCGAGGTACCACTGTATGAATTAGCCCTTCAGAAATTTTGGAGGAGCTGTATTCTTGTATGCACAAAGTGCTGAGTATGTCATACTTCCCACTATTACACAAAATCATGCAGAGATATCTGTACTCTATACCGTATTTTCCCATGTATAAGATGCTACTTTTTCCTAAACTCATTACACTAAAAATTGAGGGGTGTCTTTTACACAGAAGTAAGCTGAAGCTGAGCAGAGAATAAAACGGCCTGTACCTTGCCTCTGTAAACAGGCTTCCTTCAGTCACAAGGCTTAGCTTCCTACAGTCAGGAGACTTAGGTTCGTCCAGTCATGAGCCTTGTGGAACTGACGTCAGCTGATGCTGTACAAACCATTTGGAATACACCTTGTTGGAGGTGGAGCTTGTAAACTCAGATTCAACAGGGACTCATAATGTCTGATGTTCAGAGCCCAGAGGCTGAATACTCAAAGTTAAGGGTTTTTTTAACTTTTGGGTTGAAAAAAGGGGGGTCTTATAAACAGGGGCATGTTATAAACAGAAAAGTACGGTAGTTTCTGATCCTTGTCTTCTCTCTCGGTTTTTGCAAATGTTTGCCAGTCTTGAAAAGTCCTTTTTAGAAAAAGATGGTTAAATCAAAACAGAGGGGAAGCAGGGACTGCATGAAAAGGTAGAGGATTTGGTCAATAGTTACATTTCCAGTAAGTGCATGAAATCAGAAGGAGAAATCCTGTGGGCACAGTTACACCAGCATAAACTGGATCTGGACACCAGAAATGATTAATTTAAATGAATGTAAAGCTTCTGTTCGCTTTTTTTCAACTTCTGAGGCTCCCTTTTGCCTGGAGAAGCCTTTGGGGCACCAAGATGGGGAGGGCTCTTAATAATAATTTAAAAATTGCTGCCAGTTTGCCACTGGTGGTCCCAGTTTGTTGTAAATTTTGGAAACATATTGCTGTTTAAAAAAATCTAGAAATTTGATACAGCCACCACAAAAGCACAACTGAAGTAGAATGTATGTTATGAAGAGTACGCAACACATCTAATCTAAAGATGTTGCCTGTAATTCTAATTTTGAGAGTTGTTTGGAGAACCAAAGTAAGACATGAAGATCCTCTGTCTTTGGTAGAAACACAGGCATTCTTTGCAAAATATGTTATGAAAACATGTTCAGTCCACAGAACAATATCACCATTCTTTTGTATTAATCCTTCCTTGGGAGAAATATAGAGGGTAGAGTTTGTCTAGAACCAGCTTTTGAAAGGGACAGCCTCTATTTGAGTAACATTTCCCAAAATAAATGCCTAAAATAATTTTCTTCATAATACTGTATTGTAGCGCTTCAGAACCCCACCTTTTATTTATTTATTTTTGCAGTGTTTCTGCAGTCTGGTAGCAAGTAGGTTGAGCTGAGCTAAATTCTGTCTTTTTTCCCAGCACATTTCTGCTCCTCCTGCTTCAGTTAATTGTGAATGTCATGAAGCTGTGTAGGTTTTTAAAAATACTGTACCATTTGCTCTTTTCGTTTTCTTGTAGGAAAGACCTTTTGTATCAACAGGGGTGCTAAATGCTTGGTATTAGAGTAGCAAGCCTGAATTGAGTATGACTCAGCAGGTTGTAGTGAGTCGCTCCAGCAAGACAGGCTTGATTTCATTTATCCCCTTTATCCCATGGGGATGAGAAATGATGAGGAAATATGCTAAGAATAAGCACACCTCTGTTGGATAATGTGTGTGACCCTGTCAAGGAAAACATCTTGTGTTTTTCCTCCTCTCATCCCTGATATTTATTCTCTACAGTACACTTCCTTCAGAAGGAATTGCTGTACTTTAAATATAGGTTACATTTACATTTGAATTGTGCTTCCATTCTGCATTAGTATTCATAAAGTGCGCTAAATTATAGTGACTAACATCTTTAATATGTATTGTCTTGCATGTCAGTGGGCTTCAGAAATAACCCACAACTAATCAGACCCACAAAGGTTCATATAAATGTAATTCAGTTTGAGGCCTGCTGAGCCTTATTCATCCCCACAAGTTTGTGTGTCAGTGATTAAAATATTGCTCTGCCGTACCTGGAGGGGAAGTAGCAGATTTCCTGTAGATCAGAAGATGAATGCGATCCGGGACAGGTCCTGCATAACGTTCGATATGGTGGTTCTGTGACTGTAGCTTTCTTATTATTATTTTAAATACTGTATTTGTACTAGTGAATTTAGGGTTTGGACAAATTGGCTGAGTGATTCTGGAAACTGGAGTCTGAAAAATTAACTTTTGCAAATTTTAGTGAGCCATTGTGAAGCTACTAATATGGAAACATCAGGCTGTATCCCCTAACAACCAAGAAGCTACTTCTTCAGGGATTTTGACACTGGTTCTCTCCCCCTCCTCCATTATTTCTTTTGTGGTATAAATATCAAATACATAATTCAGAATGTGAATCTTCAGTGTGTACCAGGCAGGCTTGAAAGGGCTCTCCAGTAGCTGCTATTTTCAGGTTGGGTATAAGTGTCAGGCACTACTCTGATTTCCCTTGTAACTTTTTCTGATGTAAGGGAGGTTTGACTGCTGAGGTACTACATGACAGACAGAAAATGACAAACCTTTCAATGACTGGTCTTTTTAATTTTGTTCTAGTCGGGGCAGTTCAATGAAGATATGATCCCAACAGTGGGCTTCAATATGAGGAAGATCACCAAGGGGAATGTTACCATAAAGGTAAGATGCAAGTGTCTCCCTCTGGTAAATGACCTGCTAGATTTGTAACTCAGTTTTGGATATAATCTTAATTGTCTAAGGCAAAGGTCTCCAAACTTCTCACATAGATTTTTTTGATATTTTTGAGGGCTGAAGAAACGTGTATGTGTGCATACATGCACACTGCTGCACGCACAAACTCCCACATGCACACACTTCTGCCCACCTGTATACACACACACACACACACACACACACACACACACACACACACATATCTGCCTGTCCGCGTGCATGGGCTGGATAAAAAGGCCAGGCAAGCCACATGTGGCCCGCGGGCCATATTTTGGAGACCCCTAGTCTAAGGGCTTCTGGGGAGATTATGCTGAAGTTGAAATAAGTTTTGAGTAAATCGCCTGCTTCTTCTATGTGCGGTAATTTGGTGGTTTTGGCGGTGTTGCAGTAGTTCATAAAAATATGCTCAGTCCTCAAAACATGGTATAGTAGGGGACATTGGAGGTTAACCCCCTTAGCCACAGTTCTTTCAAGACTAAAAGGAGAGATAATTTGATTAAAACTGGAGGCTGGGGTTTTTAGGGGGAGAGCTTGTAAATTCATTTCACTAAAGGTCTTTTATCACTCATTCCCCTTGTCTTCTCAGTTGATTGCTGCTTATTGCAGTCTTTTGTAAATTTTAAAACTCTCTGTAAACTTGTAGAGTTTAAAATGATAGGCCAGTTGTGTGTAGCTAAATGTAAAAGGACTAAGTATAAAAGAAAAAGTTATTCTGGGTTATGTTAATGGGATTTTCTGAATGGTCGTTGATTCACTCAAGTTGGATATTCCAAGGCATCGGCAGGCAATTTGAAGGATTAATTCTGCTCCTGTTAGAGAGAGACAGAAACAGAGAAAGAGAGAGAGAGAGAGAGCAAGGAGGTGTTAAGGAAACTCTTTTCACAATTCCCATTAAATAGAAAGAGAAAGAGAGAGAGCAAGCAGGTGTTCAGGAAACTCTTTTCACAATTCCCATTAAATGAAGAAGTGACTGAAGAGTCCTTTTGCTTAATAAACAACTTCAGTCATAGAAGCAGACTTTAATTTCGTTTTCTTCCATATGTCTTTTAATTGGTGCATTAACTTTACACAGGTATGTTTCTTTATATTTTCCCTTGTACAAAGTCTAGTAGATTTTAATGTATGCAGTAATTTTAATACACAAGCAGTTGTGTATTATATACTTTTGTGGAGAACAAGTGAATGTGTTTTTTGTGGGGTGGAAGTGGGATTCTCTTGGTCGCCTTTCAGATTGTTTCCTTGGCTACAGGGTGTGTGCCTTGGAATAGGTGTAGATGACACTGTCTGAAATGGAGACATAGGGGAATGTAGAGTAGGCAGCAGCTCAAGCATTTTTGTCCAGCATTTTTACCTAGGAGGAAGTGTAGAGTAGGCAGTATGTGAGCCAAGGCACACACTTGGGTTTGCAAATTTTCTCTTTCTCCTTCTCATCTTCATTCTGTCTTGCTACCTCTCCTTTTTCCATAGCTGTGGGACATCGGGGGCCAGCCACGTTTTCGTAGCATGTGGGAGCGGTACTGCCGTGGAGTCAGTGCAATTGTGTAAGTAATTCTTGCCAACCCCATAGTAAGGCTACAGAGGCAAGTAGGAAAAGAACAAAGTTTGGTCTGAGTACTGTACCTCTGTCAAAGAAGGGACAGTTTCCATCCACTCCAGTGTCAAAACTAACTGGAATCTGCAGCTTTTGGCAGCTCTGTGCTTGCTGAACACAAGCAGAGAGCTGCCTCCAAGCTAGCTAAATGTGGTGGCTTCTCTCTGCATCCACTTGTTCAGGAGCAGAACAAACCAGAACACTTCCGTTGTCCTTGGTGCCTTTGAGCTGGAGGGGAAGATGTCAGAGACACAGATGCGAATCAGTCTCTGCTATGTAGTTAGAACTTCTGAACACACATATCCAATGTGCAGTGGGAAGAGAAGTGGCACATCTTCCCTCACTGATTTTGGAACCAGGGGACCAGGATGGCACAAGTGTATTACAATTTCTCTGTCTGGCGTTCAAACCATCGAGCTGGTTTAGAGGCAGAGAGCTCTCTTAAAAACCTTATTGGGGGATGTCCTGTTGCACATTTTTTGATCGGCCACCCAGGCCACAGGAAGTGTATTGACGCTCATTTTTAATGTGAAAAAGTTTGATTTTTGTGCACCTCTAAATATGTTGTGTTGCGTGTAAATAAAAGTAGTTTGTTTTAGGGTGGCCAGTTAAAAAACCCAGAAATTGGAGACATGTGGAGTTTCTGGAAGGTTTCTCTCAAGGAAACATTGTAGAGACAATAAATTCAAGCTTCTTTGCCTCTCAGTTTTCATATTTGTCTTCTGTTCAGTTTCTTGCATTTTTATTTGGCTGGTACACATGACCTGCAGGTGGACGCTTTTTGGCGTGACTGATGTTAGCATTTGTAGATATTCAAATGATCAAGTAACTGTCCTTCATGAGATGACACACAAAATGTGTGACTATAACTTGAATGCAAACACAGTGAATGCAGGGCAGATCAATTGCTGTGTTCAAAATACAGTGGTGCCTCACAAGACGAATTTAATTCATTCCATTGTTAATGTTGTCTTGCGAAAAATTTGTGTTGCAAAACGTGTTTTCCCATAGGAATTTGGTTTACGAAGTGTTTATGAAGTGCTCTTTAAAGCCATACATATTATGCATATGATTTCAAAAATTTCAATCAAAAAACTAACTTTTTAAACATCATAGAAACACATTTAAATATCAGAAAATATGAGGCAGGAACAAAAAATGGAAAACATTCTTCTAGCAAAGCACAGCCATAGGAACATATGTCTTGCGAGTCATCAACCCCATCACCAAAACCATTTGTCTTGCAAGTTTTTTGTCCTGCGAGGCATTCTTCTTGCGAGGCACCACTCAATACCGAGTCCAGTTCATTTGCAGAATAAAAATAGGATTATGTCAGTCAAGCTTAGGGAAAGTCATTACTTAATAGCAGATATCAAGCTAGAAGAATAGGAGTTCTTAATGACAGTGAGTCGATCTTGGCGGGTTTCCAAGATTATTTATTGCAGGGTGGGGATCCTTTCTCTGCACTACATTCCCATCATCGTTGATAATTGACCATGCTGCTTAGTTGATTATGGGAGTTGGGTTCTAAGAATCATCTGGAGAACTGCAGGTTCCCTATCCCTGTTTATCCCTGCTCATAGTCTTGAAAGAAAGGAGTATATTCCCTAAATTGAGATATCCATGGATAGTTTCTGAAAGGGTTGAAGCCATTGAATCTGATGCTACAGTTTGAAGACATGGACTTCTTGAGCTATAACATTAGATTTGTAAAGCTGTAGTAGAATTGACTGATATGCATAACCACTAGGAGAGAAACAAGAATGTATATACAGTTCCCTTTCACTCAGTTTACTCAGTGTTTTTCTGTGATCTCAAAGCCATTTTTGGCTTTGTACTTCTGAATATTTCTTCTCTAGAGATGCCAGGTGGAGACTTAATTTCGTATCTTTCATCCAGAAGTATTTTCTCTGCCGTTCTGAGTGAAGGGCCCTCTCAATATAACTGATGTTGGTTTCATGTGTGAGGTTCATGATTATTAACGTTCCCAAGCACTGATTTGATTTTGGCCCTGCAGTGACACGTAGATCTGCACCTAGAAAATCTTCCTCTAAGTGATGTCTTTCTTTCATGTCTGTTAGACCAGGAACAGGTATCTTGACAGATCACTCTCTCCTTATTTAGAATTTGATGTCCCCACCCATTGACATTTTGGTCAGATTTTCAGCATTCCATCTGTAACTTGACTTCTGAATCGAGATCAGGTTTATCTGTATTTTGCACATTGATATGGTCAAGATGGATAACAATGTTTTTTTAAAAAAAATCACATGGATTTAAATGAATTTTAAAAATTTAAATAATTAAATAACATTGATTTTAACAAAAAAATCAATTTTAAAAAAATTTAATCCTCCCAAATTCAATTATTTGATTAATATAATTTAAACTGCAATTTAAATAAATTTACTCTGGATATGGTGAATCTCTACAATATGCCAGAGCTCATCTGCTCTCTGTATTATGAAGGGGTGCTGATAAGTATTGAGCCTTTCCCAGAAAAAAATGAGCTAGGAAGCTATA